CCTGGCCCCCGGAATCCAGTGAATCCACTGAATCCTCTGAATCCTGTGTGAACGGAACCTCTCTGAGCCCGAGCCCTCTGAACCGAGCTAACCGAACTGCCAGTCAACGGCTCTTTGGCCGCTCTGGCTGCGGTGCAGGAGAAACTTTCTATTGGATTCTGGGTTCTGCGTTTCTGGATCCGGGATTCCTGTTCCCAAACCCCATATACCCATGCCCATACCCACTACTTACCAATTGATTCCCAGGAAGCAGGCATCCCAGGTATCGATATCCAGTGTAAACTTCGATTGACAGCCTGCAGCTAGAATCGGAATGGCAGCGGAAAGGTAACGAGCGTTCGATTGGATTGGATTCGATTGGGGTCGGATTGGATTGGTTTCTGTTTCGTTTTTCTGCAGCACAGTTCATGCGGCGTCCAGTGTTCAAATCAATTGCATTTTTCACTTTCGCTCACAAATGTATGCTACATTTCTATGAAAGTACTTAAAAATCAAAACGTTCCAAGATTATTATTGTGATCTATGACCTATTGTAGTACTTAAATTTCCATGCATTTAAAGCATATACTTAAAAGCAATGCCCACCAAAATTAATTGAAATTATTTCAGCTGATTACAGAATTTGCAGCTGGAATTCAACGGCCCAAATTTCCAGGCTGCATATTTCAGGAATCATAAAATGTTATAGCATAAACGCGGTATTTGCCCCGGAATGTCACATACCATATATGTACGTACGTAGGTGTATGTATTTCTACAACAATTCGCCCGCTTACGAGATATTGCATTTGAATGAAGTTCCCATGGGTCTCGCGGGACTGGGAGTGAAAGTGGGCGCCACTCGGGACGGATGATGAAGGCCTCTAGGGTGCGATTTTCCCGGTATCAAAATAAAAAAAAAAATATAAAAAGGTTCTGAGAATGAAGCCGAGTCAAGCTACTCAAGGCGATGGAGAATTTTTTAATGATGTTACTTTCAGGAGAGCTCTCAAATCGTTTGAATACAAATTGTTCGCTGACTCCTCGATGTCCTCCCCAGTCTATATATATATATATATATATATATATGGTATATGTGTATATATATGGCTATATATATACCTATACCTCCCTCTTGCATTTCTCGGGATGTATTCATGAATTCTTTATCTCTATCTGCTTGCTTTGCCAGTTGGCAAGTTGTGAAAGTGAAATGCGAGACATGTTCCCCGAAAATCCTTGAGGCTCCGGAGGAATGCGGGGGCTTTTGACGGGTGGCGGCCATTGTCAATGAACCCAAAAGTTATCCTAGCCATGCAAAATATACGCAAACTGCACAAGCTATGCACACTAGCAAAAAAGTATCATATGCCATATTTTGGAACTGCAGTGCAATGATACTTTCAAAGCTATTTAGTTACATGCCCAATTAACACAGTTTTGGGTTTTCGTCTACTTGTGGCTTAAATTGGCTTAAATGTCTCTGTGACCTAGAAATTTAAGGAAACTGTTCAAATGGGATATGCCATGCCATACGAATAAATCTTTAAAATATTTAATATAACAAATATTTAATATAAATAATATTTGTTTAAATTATGCGTGATAGACTCTTTTATAACCAAAATATTTGATAATAGTCCCAAATTATTGGACTTTGTATTTTATTTACTTTTAAGCTTAATGTATATTTTAGAGTTTATCTTAAGAACGCGATACTATACTTTTTTATAATAAACTATGTAATATTAAATGATCTATAAATGAGCTTCTAAAAAAGTGTTTTGTTATACGAGTTCTTTTTTAAAAAACTTCAAGAAATCCTCTAGAGAAAAGATCTCCTAACTTAGAACAACATTTGTTAACATATGTTTGTTAAGTATTTTAATAATACATGTGTGTTTTTCTGTGTAAACGCATTCGAAAAGTTGTTGTATTTATAATTTAGTAAGGGTATTTATTATTTATTGCAGTGCAGGCATACGGACCAACCCAATTTGAGGTATCGAAGGAATGTCGGGGCCTGTCAGGCACCCACTTTCCCCCGAATCCCCTACATCCGTAGTACTCCCCGCCAGGTGACACGACATCCTCCGGACGGAATGCACCCGGAGAACCCGGGAAAGTGCGGCAGGTGCCGAGTGTTTGTTGCGTGAAGCCGCGGGATGCGAGGCCAACCAACCAACCAACCAACCAGACCAGATCCATCTCAATTACCTCACCATCTCGCCTCGCATGCGAAACCATGTGCAAGTGGAAAGCAGTTCAAGTTTGAGCTGTTAGCTGTTCAGCTTGAGGTCGCTTATGAAACTACTAACTTGGCCAGAACTTGGCATCGAATTTGGCCCGCATGTGCAGACCCTAACTGGAAGTTCAAGTTTGAGTGGTTCGCCTTTGAAGGGGACTTCGATTCAAGTTCCTAATGCTCAGAGGTCCTGGTTGAAAAGTTGAAGCAATTACAACTAAGATTGCAAATATTCTGCAAATTATAACTAAGTGGGTTGGGTGATGAAAGTAAGGGTTACTAAATATTATTAATAATAACTTAGATGCATACATATGGTATATGAAATATTACAAGTCATTGTAAGGTCCTTAAAATTTCTTAAATAGGTCCATGTGAAATAACTCTTAAATTATGAATGGTTTTAGATTTTTGCTTTATTTTTTATTCTTATTTTAATTTTTATAATGAAAATTCAAAAACAACTACTAATTTTTAAATTAAAAAAAATAAATTATTTAAAAACAAGTTTTCTCACGTTTTCCCAATAAACAAAGTGATATTTCTTCAACCTTTTTTGGGACTTTGGTTTTGGTTAAACATCTTTTAACTCATAGCACTTTTTTTTCAGTCCCTGGTTATTAAAAACATAATTGGTATAATTAAGTTTATTACACTCCAGTCGCCCACTACTCCCAAATTGGATGTTAACACCAGAAAAGGGGGCTCTTAAGTTTTTATACCCGATCGTAAATAAATAAATTCAGCCCTGATTGTTGTGGTGACACTTGAATTCCTGAGTCTCGTATCGGATGCAATAAAGTGCTGGCAAAAAGCGGGCAAACACGGAGGCAGGAGCAACCACATGCGCATATGCAGATGTCCTGTATGTCGTTTATATTTGCCATTAATCAGGCATATCCATTTACATGTGATGAACTTTATCCCTTAACCTGTTTACATGTAAATTACTTGCTGCTCATTTTATGTTGCACCGGGAACTTACAAACAAACAGATGCACAGCAGGCCGACACACAAGGTACAGTGAAACTTATGCATGGTGAACTATGAAATATTTTTCAAATTTATGTTAACTTATTAACCATGAAATCGTTCGAATTGAATTTCATATGGTTTAATTAAAAATAAATTTAAATTTACCACGCGGTTGTTATTTTGTTTAAGTACAGCTGTGGTAAGAAATAGTATCCAAAGTTTTTTCATTTTTTTTATTGTTTATTGTTGGAGGTACAAAACCATATTGATTCGGGGTATGTAAATAAAATAAATCATTACATATTTTTAAACAATAAAAATTCTACACTGCGAGTAAAACCTGTCCGCTTGCAATGCTGCATATTAATAATTGAGATCCTGACAATGCCAGCGTTGCAATGCATTTTTCATATTTACCTTCACATGGCGCCGGAAAGAGACGGCACACTTACGGGTTAAATAATATCAAGCATACGCAATTGCCATTACATCCTTGTAATTGCCAAAATAATGGGAATTATGCGTATGAGAAAGTCAACATGGAACAGGATGGCAAACGGGTAGACGGACGGATCCGCCGGACGGATAGTTAATTGAGCTGTTGGCTGGCTTACAATTCAAATTGTTGCCTTTGTTGTTGGTGTCATTAATGCGAGTGTTGGCACTTTCGCACGCACCTCTCGCTCTCTCCCCTTTCTCCCCTTTCACTGCTTTCACCCGTCGCCCCTCTCTTTTCCGCGCCAAAGTTTGCTGGTAAACACATTCATAAAGCAAATATGCAAACACCCGCGAACAGCAAGGGGTAGGCAAATAGAAGAGGGCTAAGAGTTAAGATCAAAAATATTTAAAAGTAAAAAATGTTTATATTATTATGTATATGTATGTATATGTATATTATTACATGTGTTTATATTGTCTCACAATTTTAATTTATTTAGTTTATATTTATAAAAGCTAACATTCTTAGGGAAAACCAACTCAAAACGCGAATTCTTAAGCAACCAAGAACAGATGAATATTTTAAGGAAATATGTTTATATTATCTCAAGTTTCCAGTTCTATAAGGTATTATGTTTTTTATTTCATATTCTTAGAGTAAACCAACTCAAAACTCGAATTCTTGAGCAATAAAAACCAGCCAAATATTTTAAGGTCAAAGGAATGTTTCCATTGTCAAGTTTCCAGTTTTTCAAGTTTTCTTAAAGTTAACTAACTCAAAACGCGAATTCTTAAGCAGCCAAAAAGAACCAAATCTTGATATTTTAGTATCGACATTCAAAACATCACTCACACCTAAAATTAATTGAGTCTTTTGGGTATATGTACAATGTACACAAGACAAGTTCTGACTATCTTTTTACTACAGTAGTGCAATGATTTGGTTTATCATGTAGGACTAGTTACCACTATCCAAACCGCTTGATTATAAAAAATATGATTTATTGCTCAGATAAAATTCCTATTTATAGCTATCTTTTTGATATTGTTCAATTATGAAAAGAGATACGAACATTAACACACATCGATTTTGATCAGTTAAGGTGAGAGAATTTGTACAGACAGCGCTATTATCCTGAACTCCATTGTGCTTACACACGCACACGTGTGCCAGTGATGCCCATGTCGATGGCAGCAGACATATGCTAAACGAGCCGAAGCCGACCCCCAACCACCCACTCCCACCCACTCTCCCTCTCCCTCTCGCCGGAGCCGAAGTTCGAGCCGAAGGACGACGAGTGCTCGGCTCGAGGGGCGCGTATAAAAGCCGCTGATGTCTGCGCTGTCGGCTGCATTCTGCGTTCGGCTGGCGTAGGACGCGCTCTCCACTTCTCTCTCTCTCGCTCTCTCCACCGCGATTCTCCACTTGCGAAAGCGTAGAAGCGCGCCAAAAAAGCGCGCGCAAAAACAAAAAGCCAACTAACGGGACAAAAGTCGCGCGCGACTCGTAAGCTTGTTTACTTTGCCATTATAAATCCGGCGGGCGCTTTGTTTGTGTTTGTGTTGATGTTGGTAATTCCTTGTGTTCCCCCTTTTTCCCACATTTTGTTGTTGTTGTTGCGCTCCCGTGCGCTCCACATTATTTTCTGCGTTGTTTTTTTTTTGTGATTTTTTTTTTGTCGTTGTTCAAACAGTGGCCAAGAAATAACAGGAACAAAAGCTAGTAAAACAAACGGGAATTTGCAAAGCGGAAGCGCAAAAGGAAAAGTGTTGCATTTCCGTCGCTCCGTCGAGTTGATGTTGGTGTTGTTGGCCCCATTGCCGTTGCCGTTTGCCGTTAGTCTCTCCATTACCGTTAGCATCTTGGCCGCGGCAAAATGGCCGCAGGTGTTGGCCAAAAAAAATGGAGTACAGGCCAACTAGCCTAAGTGGAACTTTCATTTCAAATCCAGAAAAAAATTTAGCATAAATAATAGCATAATGGTTTAAGTCATGGAAAATATTTCAGAAATCTTTCAGTTTATATTACTAAAAGAGAATCGCGAATTCTTTAGGAATAAGTTCGTTCGTTTTTTTTTGTTTTTTCATTATAAATATAAATCATTATAAGTAAAAAATATAAAATGCTATATGATTTGAAACAACATTCAAATTAAAAAAGAGGTTTAATAAAGAATAAGTGATTGTTATTTTGGAAAGAATGTATAAGCTGCATTCATTCGTATGACTAAATTATTGAAATTTGGTTTTGTGTTACTAAAAAAGTTTACCATTTGGACTATATCCTTTGAATAAGAAATATTTGGGTGAAAATTTCAGTATCACTTTGTTATTTAAGCTTAAACTCAACTAATTCACTTAAAAATTGACGTTGAAAACTAAAGCCTAATTTTAACATTAAGAATTTTAACAGATCTTTAAGGCACGTACCCATATTAATCTTAGAAACGTTCGCACTAACGATTTTCAACTGTAGAAAAAAACCACAAAAACCAGATCCGACCGGAAACAAATGGGGGGCGGGCAAGAGATATAGAACCGAAACCACAGCCGAAATTGCCTGAGGGGAAATGCCCAAAATGGCATCATAAAATCATTTAATTGATGATTTAGTGCAGTTCGTGATATCAATATAAAATTCACCATTATCAGCCACGTTAGCACCGCCGTTAGCCAACCGAAAAAAAAATGTTTTCCATTCTTTTTCACAAGCATATTTTAAACCACCGGACGGGGGAAAACACCTGCGTTAAACATTTATGTTTTTAGCACTTTCTGCTGTCAATTTGACACTCCTGCACTTAACAATGCAAAGTGGGGAAACTCGTAAAACGTCTGAAACTCCGGCGGGGCAAATGAAAATTAAAAGCACGTCTGGAACTCTTTATACGATGACACAATTCTTTAAAATATTTTTCGACCAAATCCGGGGCGTAGTAAACTTTTTATTTCGGTTTTTATGCTAGATTCGTTTTTATTATAAAAGGTTTCAAGACTTTAAAAAGGTGTTTACCTTAAATAAAAAACTAACAAACTTATTTCATAATTATAAATTGACTATTGTGTGCTAAAGATAAAACCAGTAAAAAATAATCTGATCAAAAGTATGATCGCTCCGAGCTCAAACTTTTATAAATCCCTTGGCATAGTTGAGCTCTTCCATTTGATAAACCAATCAAAATGGAAATTGCATTCTCTAGTGATAGAACGCAGTGAAAAAACCTGAGAAAATACTCGTACAGAACTTTTCACCCATTCCTTTTTTTTTTTGGTAAGGAAAGTAGGAATTTAAGTACTTTGCCAAAGTATTTCGGCGTGTGGCGCGATGCAGAGAAGCTGGCTAAAAGTTTTGGCACAAAGCGTTTGAAATTTCATTTTAATTCGTTTTCAATTTGGTCTAACCAACCGCAGGGCAGACTTAATGCCTTGAGGATTGCTTAACTCATGCCCGAGTTGACAGCAAATACGCAGATCCCCTGCAAGGCGATTAAACTTGGCACGGTTTTTGGCCTGGGTTTTAGATTTGGGTATCTCCTTTTCATGGGTATTCATTGGCCAAAGTTTCACAGTTCATTCACAGAAGCTAATTCGGCGGCAACCCCTTACCACAATACATTTAACCATATAAAAGGGATACAAAAGGTACTTAGTTATATTTATTGGTCAAATAACGAAAAGGGCCACAAATATTTCAAATCAATGTTAACAAAGCCACACAAAAATGTATTTTGAATTCCTACATGAGTTGACAATAAATTGAAAAGAGGAAATTGACTGTGGGCATCATAAATTTCTGCATATGAAATTTGTTTATTTTTTTTAAACTTAAAAACAAAGCAAATTAAATTGTCTGACAATTATTGTCACTTTGCCAGTTTTGTTGTCTTTGGGCAAATATTCAGGAAACAATTTAATTTCAGAGAAAATACTTAATACGTCTTCCACATAAATCATTAAATTTATGTCCGTTTCATATAAGCATTACCTTGTGACATGTAATTTATTTTATTTTCTCTTTCACTATGAAAGCATAACATGTTTTGCACTGCAATTCAGTTGCTAAAATCCTCTTATTTCTTTGGAAACTCCCTTAAGCAGAACACGTTGTATTTTTCCCCAAGTCTGGTTCTATCGACAGTTTAATTGGAAAATTTCTAGGAAGGTGGAGCACACAAGGCGTTAGAAATTCTTTTGTGGCATTAAATCTTAAATAAATGCCAGACTGCTGAAATTGAAACGATTTTCTGTGTAATCCAGGCAAATGCATATCAAGTTTCCTAAATTACCTGAACATAAGATACCTAATTTAAAGGCAGTTCTATTTTAAATCGTATTAATAACTAAAATAAAAATTCTTCAGATTGCGATATGCAACTTCGCTAAACGATAAAGTTACACTTTGGCACTTTTACTTTCCGTCCAGGAAGTTGGATGACTTGCGAAAGTAAACCGCAAACTGATTAATGCCATTTATGCCTGACAAATCCGGCGTTATGTACCCAGATTTCCAAGGCAGCGAGAAGCGAGAAAGTGGGTGAAAGTGAGTTACACGTCGCCGCTGTGATGCTGGCACGTTGGAAACTTTTTCGGAATAAGTTGAAGGATGTACGCGGCGTGTGGCAAGTCGTAAAACGAGGCGGTGCTGTAAAGTATGCTGCTCCTGCCACCAAAAATTCGAAGATTCTTAATGCAGGCGGCTCCCATGATATTCGCCCAGCGGCCATCCCATCAGTACATTAACTTTACCACCCACTCTCTTCTAAAAACCGCATTGTATCCACGAAACTTCGCCCACTCAACGACTTGTCCACAATATAATAATACCCCATCCAAAACGATGGTGCCAGATAAATTTGTCATGTAAATACAATACAATGAACGTGTAAACATTTATTATGTGCTTACAAAATTTGTTGTTGTCAATGCTCAAATCTGTCAATTGTCTGATTTAAATTGTACACGGATTTGTTTTATTATACCCGCTGTTCGAAAACGAATGAGGGTATGATGAAAAATCGTTTGAAAAGAGCCATTTAGTCATCATGTATTGGAATAACCTAAGCGGAATTCAGTTATCAGTTAAATAAAATATTTTAAAAATAGAAATTGCTAATTATAAGTAAGATCTGCTTATGAAAATAAATTCTAACTGTCCCCTTAAGTATCCTATAAATCTTTCCTTGTAAAGGGTATTCTACAGTCCAAATATTTTTCATGTTTCAAGCGCCTGTTTGTTTATTTTCGATTTCGTTTGGAGTGTGTTTATATGTCGAATTAAATGGGTTCCCCCAGTATCAATGATTTTGCAACATCAACATTTGCAGCAATACCAACAGCAGGAAAACTCGCAGCGATTAGCCATAAACGATATCCGAGGAAGAATAATCAAGAAGCGATCAGCAGGCCGAGCAATCTGCTTAAAATGCTGAAAATGCAGCTGCAGTTGAGCAGTCATAATGGTAATTTACCACCCCGACCCCTCCGTCAGCAACCAAAACTGGCTTATCATCATCGGGAGCAACAGCAAAAACAAAAACAAGTGCTCCAAGGACGTTCGCCGGCGTTGTTGCCAGTGATGCTGCTCCTCCTGATGGCCACGCTCCTCACGCGCCCACTTAGCGCCTTCTCCAACCGTAAGTAGAGTCTAAAACATATACCCAATAGTACGTAATCATATCCCTTAATAAGTATCGCACATGATCAATTCAAAAAAATTATAACGGTAGCTAATAGATCACCATAACCTATCGATATTTTAAAGAATTATCCTAAACCCATTTTGCCAAACACTAAAATGCCACAAGTTATCCGCATTTTCATTATATAGGTGTTATAAGCATAAAGTTTTCAATTCTTATCAGTTTGGCTTTCAAAAATTACTTAGCTTACATCATGTTATCGCTTAATTATCGATTAGAAAATGGCGTGTAGTCACCTTCGATTGTCATTCATTCGAAATCTTTGTGAAAAAGAGAATATACATAATAAGAATACTTACAAAATTCAAATTGTATAGCTTTGGCTATTGGCAGACTATAAAAATTTGATTATCGATTACTTATATATCATCCTATTCAGGTTATCGCTTACTTATCGATCAGTAGATTCCTGATATTCGATTGCCATCATTTTGAATAGTATTTGGAATGAAAATTTAGATACCCTTGGCTATGAACCTACTTCAAATTCATATTATCGATCACTTATCGATCAACAAATTTCGGCGATTACTTCTCGATGGACATCAATCAGAACTCTCACGCGCCCATCTCCAATACGCAAATGCATAGGCGGCATTCCGGCAGGGCAAGTTCAGTTGCTTGTTTGCCTACTTGTTTATAGAGTTGTCCGTCCGGATGGATGGCTGTCCGTATGTCCGTATGAGTGTCAGTCTGGATGAGTGTCAGTCCGTATGTACCACACAGAGAGAGGGAAAGTGCCAGTGGATGGGTGGATGTAGGATATAGGATGTGGATGAGGATGTGGAGGCATGCGTGGGGCATTAAGTTATCAAGTGGAGCGATGGCAATGGCATCGCCAAGAAGATGGCGGATTTGCGGCCAGTTCTCTCGACTGTGACATGTTTGTTTGTTTCTCAGCTACAAGCATTAAAATTCACACCCACCCGCACACCCGCACAATCGTTGGGATAACCAGAGGGGGTACAATTGAGACGTAGAGCAGGACGAAGGACCCACAACGAAGGACGCAGGACGGAGTCTGGGCCTGAGTAGGTGGCTTCCTCGTAAAGTTCATGGCTTGGTGGCTTGTTCCGACGACGACGACGAAGACGACGCCTTGGCTGGCAGAACAGAAAGCGTGCATTAAAAATCAATAGAAGTTACAAATGTATCCTACCATTGGGAAAAAGGGGCAAAACATTTGTGGCGCCATTTGTGCGCTGACAGCCTGACTGACTGACTAACTGACTGGCTGACTGGCGGACTGCCTTACTGGCTGACTGGGCTGCCTCGATGCTTCGCTGCCCACGACCTCAACGTTGGATACTACAAGGGTTAAAGGTGTTCCGGGGTAAGAAATATGGTCCATGCAGGTGCGCCAACGTCATCGGGCGACTGATTTTGCAGATCCCCAGCTACAATGGTCAGTGGAATGGGCTGAAATGCATCCACCTCACGTGGAAACTATAAAAACTTTGGAAATAAAAGCCAAGTGATCGATTGCCGGCTATCGAAGCGATTAAATATCGATTAGTGTTCTGTGTAAAACTTTAAAGCACATTCGGGTCTTACGATTGGTCTGGCAGTCATTAAGTCTACTTAAGTTAAGTGCAGTATATCAGCTTAGTATGCTACAAAGCGTTAAGTTTAAAAAGCAAGAAAAATAAACAACAAAGAGTTATCAATTGATAACTTTCGATAACTTTTACATATCGATACTTCTTTTAACCATTTTTATATGGAATACTGGCTGACATATCTTTTGGTAATCAAATGCTCACATTTACAGTTATATTACTAAAATTCGAAGACAATTTATGGTAATTGATGTATTGTTGATTAATTCAAAGCCAATCAACGGTATAGATACCTTCAATTTGGCTTTCCTTGTAGCAAAAACATTTCTATGCCTTAAAGTAAATCCATTTACTCGATACTCCTGAAGCGATGCTAAGTAAACTCTTGAAATGACCAAGCATCGGAGGCAACAAGTCCAAATTGATGCTCAAGTTACGCCAGCTATTTGATGACAGTTCATTGGTCCGATGGCAGCAACAAAGAGCATTCATGAATCATAAATGGGACAAACATTCTTAATGGCCATCCTAGCCAATGTTACACATATATCACTGAAAAAAAAATGTATGAACATTGTAAGCAGATACAAATTTAAGTATTTAATATTACCATGTATGATAATAATTCAAGTGAAAACGATCTACATTTTTCATAATTAAAATAAACTATCCTAAAATTAATCGGGGATGCTGTAGAAACCACTAGGGTCTTAAAACCACTCTTAAATGTAATTTTGTATCTAAAAGTATGCAACATTATATTTTAAACTCAAAAGTGCAATGATTTCTTTCAGAATGACAACTAGCCATTATTCACTGCATACTTTTAGGGATTTCGCAATATTTTCACCCAGTGTAAGTGCTTGTGTGTATGGATATGAAACTTTATATGTTCCTTCGTATTGGCCATTGAATGTCCATAAAACAAAATTTGAATGCGAACCGTAAACATTGGAATAAGCAAAATAATTTGTTATTTTTATGTCGTCCTTCTGCTCCGTTTTCCATCGCTGCTCGAATTACGCATCCGACGTGTGGGCGCTCCGTTTGGGCAAAGGACCTCAGACATGGGACGTAGGACATCCCAAATCCGACATAAGTGTCTGATTAGTGCGAGAGGGCTTCTCCACTTATTTACCTTCGACGGGCGGGCCTCATAAATCCATAAGGAACTGACAAAACCGAAGGCGAAAGAAGCTCGAGTGAAATCACTTTGCTTCTCTTTTTGTATCTCTATTTTCTATTTTCCTTTTCCTTTTTTATATTTCTTTTTTTTTTGTATGTCTGTCTGCCGATTGCCCGGCTTACGAGGGCTTTGGATCAGCGGGGCGCCAGGAGTCCGGAGTTCCCCCGGTTTCCCGGTTCCCCGGATCCCCCAAATCCCCTAGAACTCTCGGCCATTTTCTATACGCCAGACACACGCACATACTCTCGGGGTTCCGCTCTCCTAGCTTCCTGCTTAATGGCCAGGGCCATGTTGTACCAAACAATTCAATTTATATAATCCTGCGGACAGTGGGCGCTCCTCCTCCTCCTCCTCCGTTCCAGGTTAATGTGTCACCGACAGACATCCCATCCACGGAGGATGCGAATGTCACGTTAAACGTATCACGTAACCGGATGCGTGTTACATATTGCTTTGGTCCCCCCTTTTTTTCTATTTCATTTTTTTTTTTCACCCGGTCCTTTGAGCTTTCAATGTTGCATTTTGGATTGTGTAACGCCCATTTATGCAAACGCAGATTTGATTGAATTTCGTTTAACAAAACAAAAAAAATAATGAAAGAAAGTTGAAATCGGGCAATTAAAGCTTTAATTGTTGTCACAAGAGATTTTCAATTGAATGCAACAAAAAACTATTCTTAATTGCAAAATCAATTCGGCATTCGGCACGTAGCGCCAAAGATAATGCCTCGTTGTGTCAGAGGAATGTGACCAATTGAATTACAATTCGCAAATATGTAAATTTAATAGTCCACATAATCAAATATTGGTACTTTTGTATTAATATTTTCAACTTTTTATACGAGTTTAAAGTGCTTTAGATATAATTGAAGGGTAGATTTTCATAGAATGTTAAAATGGAAAAAAATTTTACATCCTATGAAATAGTAAACAAATTGTAATGGGTATAATCTTTAGCAAAATATGAAAAATAGTTGGAAAAAAGCAGTGTGAAAATGTTATTTTAAAAAATATTAAAAAAAATTCCTTTTCTGTGATAAATCACATTAAAAAATCCTTTTTCCTTGAAACAAAATCATATTTATCTGTAATATATTCTATTTATGGCAAACAAATGGGAAAATATAAGATAAATCGAAAAAATCGAAATTATTAATCGAATTAAAATCCAATCGATAAATCACATTAAAAAAATTATTTTTCGTTGAAACAAAATCATATTTGTCTGTAATATATTCTATTTATGGCAAACAAATGAAAAATATAAAATAAATCGAAAAAATCGAAATTATTAATCGAATTGAAATCCAATCGATTAATGTGGGTCGACAATTAAATGCTTTAACGTTCGACCCTCATCCCTTGACCCCTTTTTTTCCGTCTGCTGTTTTACCTGTATTCGCACCTCTGGCCTTTTGTGGCACCTGTCCTGACCAACTGCTTCTGAGCCCCGTCGGTGTTTATTTAATTCGCGTACATTTTTATTAATTTTAATTGAAAGCTTTACGAGCGTTTAGCTGTGCGCTCTGAGGCTTTTGGCCCCTTACTCCCCCTGGAGGGGTACACTTTTTGCCATTGGCCCCCCCCCGCTTATAGCCCCCCTTTTTTCGCAAGCGGCGCCTTTGTTTGAGCTTAACTTTGTTGTTGTTTTTTTTATTTTATTTCTCTGGCTGTATTGTTTTTGCTTTATGTGCTCAGCTGCAGTTCTTGCTCACTCTCTCCCCCTCTCTCACTCTCTTTCTTTTCCTCTCGCCGCTTGACTTTCGTCTTAATTGTTGTTGTTGTTATTTTATGCTCTGCTCTGTTTTTAGTGTTGATTTAGTTGTTGTTATTGTTTGGAGACTTTTGTTGTGTGCAAAGTGCTCACGCTTATGTTTTTGTTGTTGTTAATGTACTGGCGAATTGCTGTTGTTGTTTGGAGACTGCTTGGCACTAAGCTGACTGGACTTGACTGGAAAATTAAGAGACTGGAAGGAGAGCGCGAGATTTTCTCCGCCTGAGATTTGTCAGCCATTTCTCATAGAAGAAAGGCGGGAGAAAAAGGGAATTTTATTTAACCAAATCTTCGAATACCCCATAAAACTATTTTGTTTATGAACGAATAAAGATTGAGAAAATAGAAGGTATTCCAATAAACTAGTTGTATTTTATTTTTTCAATCTAATAGCTCGTACAATGTATAAATATAAA